TGGCGTGGGCGTAGCGACATTGTCTTGAACGTTTCCCCCGGTGCCCATCAACACCCATCTACTCCTTTAAGCAAGTACTCCCGGATAGATTCGTTTTGCTCTCAAAAATTGCCGATCCCGCTTTTGATTCTCCCGTAGAGTATGAACGCGACCCTGTATGAAACATACCAGATCTCTCTCGGAAGTCTTTTTCTCCCAGCCAGGAACAACAACAAACGAATTGCGACCGATGAAGTAGCATTCCTTTATCTGAACATTGGATTCCGTCAAATGTTGTAGACATACTTCATGTGGTCCACGTAGAAATAATTAATAGATAGCTTGAAGATCAGGTTCACTGACGTTTTCTCTTTTAGTGAACTGGATGAGTTTCATGCAGCCTCTTTGTTCGCCTTCGTTAAAATTATGTCTATTGTACCGAGATTCATCATCTTCTCCTATAGGCACTTTCGTGTCTCCGAAGTAGTAAACTGCAAGTTTTAGAATGATCGTACGAAAAACCTTTCTGAGTAAAAAGGGAGCTCACCTTGAATTCTCTTTTCTTCATCTTCAAGATCATCGAGTTCTGCATCCGACTCTGCCGCAGCACTGACGTTTTTAGAGGTACTCAAAAAACGAGTCTGTCTATGCATCTAAAACGAATTGCAGATATACTTCTAAACTAAAAAAAAAGCTTAAACTGAGGGCGAACCTCCACTCCCTCCTCATTGACGAGTACACTCTTCAAAGGATTTTTAGCCATCACAGCTTTTGTGTACATTGCAAGAGGAAGACGAACTCCAGGCGCTATCTCCCAGTTTTTTCGAATAGCCCGACTATTGACGACCGGGGTCGTGAAATGGTAAACAGCGGAAACCGCATCCCGAAAAACATGCGAAATACGATAAGAAAACAAGCATGGTAACCTCCTCTTTGAAGCTCATGAGAAACCAACCTGAAGCCGTAGTTAATCCCGTCAGTGCGCTTGACGATATTTAGCACTGAAGAATCGGCTTTATCGCCTGTAGCTGAATCGCTGTCGACGCCACTGCAAAAACAAACCATGAGTAGCGAGAACGTACATTGTTTTAAGGATGTGAGGAACAATGAGGTAGCAATGTTTGGTGCGGGGACAAACAATGCACGCAAAGATCAATCTCATTGGAATCTCAGAAACCGCAAATAAAAGAAAATGTCGATTTCACTTCAGCAAGAGAGTTTAAGCCTCGAATTCTCTTCGCTACAAGAACAATCGACCAATCTGGCGTCCACACTTTTCCTTTTCGTTGCCTTTTTGATCATTTTGAGCGTTTCGCGCAAACTCTGAGCCGATACTTATACTTCCTTCTTCGCTCAATGCGTTCGCGTTAGAAGGGCTTAATCAATACTACTTTCCTTTTCGCTTGGAAGCTCAAAACGCCCACGAGAAGTACGAACCCAGCCTTAGAGTTACAGAACTGTCATAGGAAAATAAGCTGAAATTCAAATCCATGAGTGAAATTGAAGTATACCGTAACATACATTGCAACTAATGTGGCTTCCATGGCATTTATTCCATTGATCACGGCAGACACCTCTGTTTTACGACTCGTACTCTTTGCCAAGTCATTTGTGAAAAGCTGAAAGCCTGTGTGCTATATACAGAGACGGATGGGGGACCACAACAGTAAGACGCTTCGAGCGTACTCTTCGAAGTTAGTTCTCCGCAAAGAAGTGGATGGACACACTAGTTTCCATAGTTTGCAACCCGGCGCTTTGAGCAAATCAGCTTTCCGAGCAAAATTAGTATTGACCCTCCCAAAAAACCGATAGCCAGCGCTTCGAGAGAAACAGCGCTTTCGAAGAATCGGCGTTTTGCGCGCCGATAGATACCTACACTTCCCTTTGGTCAAATCGCCGATTCGATCAAAACGCTGACTGTCCCAAAACGCCGACCTACAAGGAATGAACGCGGCCTGACCGTACCCGTCACTTACCAAGATATTTTTCGACTTCACTGCTGCGTCTCCATCGGTCTGGTGGTGAAGAAAGTCCGTTGCTACGACCAGAGCATCGACAGCTACAATAATGAATGAGAAGTTGAGTGGTGAATATGTCAGCTAACCCTGTGCACTTACCATTTCCAACAACTTTGCAGTTGTTATTGACTTCCCGATTTAAAAAGCGAAGATGATCGAAGCTTACACGAGATAGAACTTCGTCTTGCACATATACATGAGGTATATCAAGATTGTTCTTCGTTTCCTCACTTCCGAATAACACTATTGAGATTCTATCTTTGGATTGAGTGAATATCTGAAGGAATGACAACCGATCACTAAAAAAGCAGTAACGCAAGCCGAGAATTGATATTTTCAAATGTTTTTAAAGCATTCGATCAACTTGCAGACAAAATTGGCTTGTTTGATACAGCAAGACCCAAATGAAAAGATAAAGCTGCGTTCATACTTTGCCTCTGCGTTTTGAGCGTACATCAGCTCCTTCAGCGACTGCCCGGAAAAGTACAAAAGACTGGCGCACACAAAACGCTGACACAAAGTATCAACGCTCTCTAGTGTGATCGAGTGGACGAGTCGCTCCAGCGATCCGTTCGCGCGATCCAAGCGACCGCATCGCAAAGTGTAACCGCGCCTAAATGAAAAAGAAATCACCTTTCTGGAAATAATCCAGTCAGCAGCTTCCTTTGCCATAGAGAAATGGCTTCTCGCATCTTCTACTTCATTCATCGTCTTACCACAATCAATCACCATTACTAATGCATCATATTTCTCTTTTCTTGCAGCCGGTTTGGCTTTGTGCTGCGGCTTCTTTTCCTCAAACTCATCATCCGACATCTAAATACATAAGTGCAAATGACTGTACTCATTAACTGCGAATTTTTCGAATATAATGCATACAAACCATAAAACCTGCCAACAACAAAAAATAATCAAGAGGGATAAATTCAAAAAGGTATATCTGGGTGCGCTGTTTAAACTATTGTTTTTGGATACGGTCTGATAGGAAAATTGAGGAAACAAACGCCTGAAAAGGAAATCTGCATAGATAGCTCCCACGGGAATTTGAAATTTGAAATGGAGCAGGTGAAATGCGTCAGTATCTCTTGCTGGCTCCAACGTCGTGTCAATCATGAGTCTCCAAAATGCGAGAGAGTTTGAAAGTTGTATTTCTTGCGGTTGTTCCCTAGGATCCTGATAGTCATCTAATGCACCGGTAGGGTGTGTTGTCAGTTAGTATGCTGGCGTTCTGGAGCAGTTGTGGGCGAACTTTCTGAGACCAGTTTTTTTTATCAATGTTGACTTTCCTAGATGTGCTCATGTGTTATGTGTTGCAACCACTTCACGATATCTAACAAAAGAGGTGTTAACTCTGTATAGTAGTAATAGAGCTGATAGAAGGTTGTTACTATTAGGCCAACGTTTCGGCTTCTTCGAAGCCTGAAAAGTCACGAACCACTTGAGATCAGTCCCCTCAGCAACCAATCCAATACTCAAAGGAAGGTCCCTGGACTTAAATCACCATACTATGTCGATAAATCGGAGATGCTACGAGGCTTGGCTCAATCTCTGTCGTCGTGAAGCGAGGTCGACCACCCAATGATAGGACCTAGGCGTTGAGTGAGCACCATTGGAAGACGGGCAAGAGAATCCTAATTTGCCGCTCGCCGCGCGGCGGCGATGGGCGCGGCGTTTTCTTAACTCGTGTTAACCTGTCGACTGGAGCACCGGACTTCATGTAGACCCCGTCATCGTAGACATTCATGACTATTTTCGGTTCTGAATTGCCTGTTGTCGCCATCTACTACCTGGAACCATCGCCATTTGCAGGCGCGACGTCGCACGCGACGCCCACCAGCGCGGTGGATTAGGCATTGTTCACAGTCTGCGACCCTGAAAAACGGCGGTTGGGAGAAAGGCAAAAAATAGTCATCGATCGGACAATGCTTTTCGCCCAATCGCCGCAGTTCGGCGGTTGGGCGAAAAGCAACAAGTGCGTATTGATTGCTGGCGAAAAACGCCGGGGCGATCAAGCTAGCGTTTCGCCGAAGGCGAAAAACGTCGCGTTTCGGCGAAAAAAACAAAACCAAATCCTTTCGCCCAACCGCCAGACTCTTCGCCCAACCGCCAATCGATACGTATCAAAAGCTTTTCGCCGAACCGCTGCGTTCCAGAGAAACGCTGGGCCGCAGACTGAACAATGCCTTACGATTCTCTTGTCACATATCCCTTGCCTTTGTACGCTTGCGCGTATGGTGGTGTCTAGTGTGTGGACCGTTCAACCGGTACACTTTATTTTACGGCAAAGTATTTTCCATGGTCTTTGCGATCTGTCAGAAAATCTCTTTGATTGGAACTTTCGCACGTCATTTCTCCTTCATTATTCTACAACGAAAATCTCAGGTATTTCAGACCATGTCTTGTACAAAGACCGAACCAGTAACTACAGAAACAGTGACTGAGGAACAGGTGAGCGTTTTCGAGAATACAAATCTTTGCACTGTCGAATTATTCTTACCCCAAAAAATCAAGAATTGTTTGCGCTCTACCTGCTGAGGTTATTCGATATCCTGATCACGAATATGACATTCAGTTCCGGCGCTGGCGCCAATTGGCACCAACATGGCGCCACTACTTTTCTCAACAAACTTGATGAAAACATGTATACGTCAACTGACATTCTTGTCACCTGGCGGTGGCGCATTTAGCGCCACTAGGCGACAGGCGCTATACCGTTTGCTTTCGAAATCGATAAAAACTTGCGTAATGGGGCTGTTTGATGCCTATCACGAATATGGCATTTATTTCTCCACGCCGCGTTCTGCTATTAACCTGGGAGAAAGAGTGATTCCGGCACTATTCAACTATTACTACCCCAAATGGGAAAAACTCGAACTCAAGTACTCGAAAATTTTTTTGCTGAAACTTTGCCCACAGGGGAAGATCGGTGTCCCGATCACGAACGTAAGACTAGCTTTAGGCTCTGGCGCCATTTGGCGCCGCCACCCTTCTCACCAAATTTGATGTAAATTGTATATTAGGATTGCTTGATCTCCTACCGCGAATACCGCATTAATTTTTCACCCCTGCGCGCGCCACACCTTTTTTATCAAAATCGATAAATTCCTGCATAATAGGGTTGTTTGATGCCCTGATCACGAATATGACATTTATTTTTCGATAATAGATCCATTTAGTGCCTTTCTGAGGCTGAGCATGAGAGGAAGAGTGATTTCCTTCAGGCCAGGCTCAGCCTTAGCAGAGCGCAGATGATCGCAGCGTCTTCCATCAGCGCCAGCGCCAAAAATGAATGTGATATTTGTAATCAAGATGTCAAATAACCTCCGTATACAAGTTTTCAGCGGATTTGGTGACCTAGGGTATTTTGGCGCCGGCGCCTGTGGCGCGGCCAAGCAGTTTTGGGCCGAACGGATGTGATATTCATGTTCAGGAGGTCAAACTACCCCTGTACTGTTCCCTAGACAAAAAATCGGGAAAAATTCCGCCTGATTTCGCGAAACTGGAGTAGGAATAGTTCGATAGTGCCCAAGTCTCGTTTATATTTTCCTTTATGTGGACTAGCAATACTTTACATCTTTCAGCTTCCCGTTCCTCTACCGGTAATTTGACTTTTGAGAACTTTCAAGTTTAAGTTTGTGTGGATCGATCCTTGTGAAGTGCATTACTCTTATAAAGCGGCCGTCATACTTAACGGGAAAGGGCAGTAGATTTAAGTCACTATCTGTAATGGGATATACATCACCTGGTGCATCTTTGATAGCTTATTTCAAATCTGCATTCCGCATTTTCAAACGACTCTTGGGGTAAACTTATGGAGGTTTTTGTGAGACCAACATCTATGAGAGGGACTTGAGAAAACCTGAACGCGTTCAAATCATAAACTAAAGTAAGTGCCCCGAATCGAAGACAAGATGCATTTTTTTGCTCGGAGTTATCGCATTCTGTGAAGATGTTATCCTAGGTAAAAGTGCTTGCCATACTTGTTTATCGTGAGAGTTCTTCTCAAAGGAGTCTCCAGAACTTTGTGCAGTGAATCTCTTGGCAAATGTGAAGCTGAGATTCAATTTAGCTTCGAAAGATGCTCCAGTCGGTTAAGATCGCGTTTAAGGTGGTCATTTAGACAAACTGTCTATCGTTACCAGCACTTCAGGGTTTTCGAAGCTCGGTGACTACTCTGTATGGCCTCGTTCGCTGAACATTGATGGGGTTCGGGGGAGGTGAGGATTTGGCACGACGCCATACACGTTCTCACCAAGTATAAGCGACAGCAACTGTTGGAAAACTAGTGATGCGAACGAAATGATACAGCGCGTCGCATGTTCACTTCAACAACTGGTGGAAAACGGGTTTGGCGCCGCGCCAAACCCATCCCCGCTTGGCACCCTCTTCATCTGCAGCGAGACTGTACTATTTGTTGAGAATGTTCCTGTGTCAAGCCTGCTCTGTGAGGCCTCTTGGGTTTTAGTTGTTCCTCGCGGAGCCTCATTTATAAGATCGCTGTAATAAGCAGCTTTCGGCTCATTGTTTCTTCTTCCTTCTTCCTTTCTTCCCTGGTCCCTATTTTCTCCCTTCAAAGCCCATTAGGTTACTGAATGATTTCAACACTACTGTTAGTGCTTTGCCCGGGACCAGGATGTTCGGCGACTCGACGGTTCAGGAGAACTCGCATCAGTTAGAAGCTAGGAATCGATCTGGCAGTCAGAGAAACAGAACAATCAGTTATCCGACGTTTTCAGAGGGTGCACCGAAGGTAGATGGGAAACGATCTTCTCTGATGGCTAGGGCGCGAAAACAGAGACTCGCAGAATCTCCCATCCTCCCAGATCGCTAGCTGTAAACGGGTTCCTAGGGTTTTTTGTGCAGAAAACTATGACTCAATATATCCCATCCAATGTCCTCAAAGTTTTTTCTAGCCGCATTTGGCTTGGTGGGAGCACGAATGGCACTCAGCTAAGCTCGTGGCTATCTTGTGGAAACTTGCACGATATGGTGCTTTATTGCTCTTTTCGCAGCTTCACAAGAGTTTGTAGGTGTCACCACAATGGGACCTGTTATTTAAGATGTACTAACAGAAGGAAACAATGTGCATGGTGGTGAAAGTGCAAGGTGCTCCCTCTAACCGAGCAATGGCGTTTTCTATCTGATTTGGAGTTCATGCAATGAGAATCTCTATCTGTTGAGGAACCGAAGCACTAACAAAGATAGCATGGCGTTGAAAGTGTTTTTGTGAGAAATGACTAAGGATGCTAATAGACATGATTATTGAAGTGGCTAATGATGTAAATTGTGTGATGTGTTGCAACTTGCTGCCTTTTATGTGCTCCTTAGTGCAAGTCCTTTACAGACAGACTTGGTTCTGCGTTTATCTCGCGATCCTGAAAGACCACACGTAAATTGGACCACCGATACCGTGGACAATGAACATATGGGCAAGAAGAAGAGCAAGTGCTGCTGTATTTACAAAAAGAAGAAAACGTGGCAGGATAGCAGTAGCAGCGACGATTCGGTAAGCTTGCCCTGGCTCTCGGAATCATACAAACTTTTCGATGCTATCTCATTTGGTTTTCCCATCCAAATAATCCTTTGAGTTGTTTGCTCCGATTCATTGTTAACAAGTGTTGCTGCTATTGACGGCGGGATCGGAACTAAACGTGATTGATTACTGACCTGAGTTTCTGGCCTCTTAATCATATGAAATAGCGGTCATAGTGTAATGTGGAGGGTGAAGCAGTTGTAGGCATAGTCATGTGTTCGAATTACTCGCTACCACATTTTAATGCCTTGTCAGCTATTATCAGTAGTTGTCACTTTTTGCATCCGTGTTCTCATGCTGCCCCCTATAACATTTCATAGTACCAATGTCACAATGTTTTTGTGACTCGCGCTATGAGTTGGTATTCTCCCTTTCTAGGGCAGCGTTCATAGTTCGCGACAGCAGCGGCGATCGCCGCGATCGCCGCTGCTGTCGCGAACTATGAACGCTGCCTAACCTCCTTATCAGCTCTTATAATTTCCTGCCTCTTTCTCCAGGGATGGCGTGCATTGTCCCATTCACCACTTCCTGGAACCACGTTCTCACTGCTGCTGTGGGACCTTTATGAGTGTGGTAACGTTTTCTGTCTCCCACCAGTAATTGTCCTGTCCCACCCATAACATCACTTTTTGGGCTCTCTACGACTAAATCGGAGAAAGTTATGATTTCCGGTCAAACACATATACCAGCACACAAACTTAGCTAATTACATAAGTAGCATTTTATGAATAGTGTGTCTGCAATACAGCTCAGAGACCGCGTTCAGACTTTGCGGACGGATCGCTCGATTGGATTGCGTTACCATGACGGGGGGCGAACTACCGCCAAGCAGTGCACCGCCGTAACGGCAGAGTTCGAAGTGAGCCACCTTCACATGTCCGTTGTGGCGGTGCACCGCTTGGCGGTGGAGTGCCTCTGTCGCGATCCAATCGCTCGAGCGATCCATCGCGAACTCTGAATGTTGTCTTGGAGGGATTTTTTCCGCCGCAGTTCTTAGATGACGCAGATTAGAAATTATTGAGCTGAATTGAGCCATGGTACCTAACAGCTCATCAATTGCTGAACTAGTAGAATAGCTGCTTGATAATGGAGAGTTGTTGGAGCTGCTACTAGGGACCTTGTTTGGCTTCTCAGTTCTTTTTTCACTTTCAATTCTCTTTCTCTGGGTGTGTGACTAGACAAAAGACATCAGAATAAACTGTTGTCATTTGGTAGCTTTAAAATGTTTACGCCAATGCACGGAACTGCCTAAAATTGTTGGGAAGGTTTTCCAAAATATCGCCCCCCCCCCTCTCGCCTTCTGGGTGGGAGGATCCCACTCTTGTTATAATGCTCGGGAAATGAAAGTACATATTTGATTCCCGCCCGAGACTCATCGTTTTACTGTGATCTTATGATGACTGGTATTTCTAGTTGTTATATTGTATGCTTTTTCCGTGCCAGTTTTGATTCTGCCTAGTAACCTTTTTACAGGACTGCGAAACTGGTAACTGTCGTGGCCACGTGGAAAAGAAGAAGGGACATGATAGCCATCCAGAAGGAGACGATCATGCTGGACCTTGCGAACATTAAATCATTTCTTTAATTTATTTTTTTTTCACCATTTTGCATTACTTTTTCAGTTCACATCTATACCCTCACACGGTTGTCTTACTATTCTGTGTGTAAGTTTGAGTGTTGTGATGTTATTACCTTATTTGTGGATCATTTAATGTTGTCTGGGTCATATGGGAATGTAAGAATTTTCCCGAATTCGTTTCATGAAGGGGGCCTGATTTCGGTCAACTTGTATAGTTTCATAGTCGAGACGCTCAAATTAATGAATCTTTTATGCGTGGCATTCCAAGTGTTCAGAATAGCAATAAACCTTCCAGTCGGCACCTCCACATGTCTTCAGCCAGAGGAAGCACAATTGGATAGACTATCAATGTAGCGAGGGGTATTATCATAGTTAAGACCACGTTTGGATTTTGTGAACGGTTAGAGCGCGTTCATACTTTGCGATCCAAAAGCTGGAGCGACCCGATCGCATGAAGAGAGTTCCCGCGATGTTGTCCGCGAAATGCCTCCGTGCATTTGACACTCGGGTCCACACTGGATGTACCACAGAATGTACCACATTCGCCACTCGTAGTGGCGAGATAAAGAGTCTAGATACGCGTGAGTATTGCAACCAATGCAACCACTGTTGTTTTCACACTGCAAAACAACGGCTCACAAGCGGGATTGCGTGCGTACATAGCGTTGACTGGAGCGTCGTAGGGCGATACCCTATGCTGCCGGGACCGGTTCCTCTTTCGCGAAAAATTCGTTCAAGGCGCCGACCCACTGCTAATGATAAGGGGGGGTCTCTGTTCAGAGTGTTTCTAGATATTTTTTTTCCGTTTCTTTCTCTACTGATGGGTTGATTATGAGCTATTACTTCATGAATGAGCACCTACTACCCGTAGCACTTGATCGCGGGAAGTGTCTTTAAAGGCAGTTGGCACGATGGTTTCCTCCCCGGCCTCACTATCTGTAGGGCGTTATACGGTGGGAAAATGGAAAGAACTTGGTGAAAGGTCGAAATCCTGCGGAGAAAAAGTCTCTGTTCTCAGTGACTTGAAAATCGATTTCACGGACGAGTCTCCCGTAGGCATCTTACCAATCACGGTTAGCGAAGGTACGGCTGCATATTTGTACCCATTTATCCAAGCAGCATTAAGGCCGCTTCATACCAATCCCTTCGCTTCATAATTTGCTTAGCAAATGAATCGATTAGAGCGTCAAAAAATATCGTCCATTTGTGGGCGGCGGGCCTTTGGGTCGTATATGTTGTGGCTTGATAGGGCCCTTATAAGGGCACCTTCCTCGGGGAAGCTATGCAGCGCCTGCCCAGGGTCGCGGAATTCTATCCTGCCAGGAGTATTGATCCTAGTCGTCTTGAGGGATTATCGTGCCAACTGCCTTTAAGCGATCGATTCGCAAGGTATGGACACGCTATTGGGCGGTCGAGGTGGTGGTGCATTAGTGTGTAGATGAAACGCATTATAATCATGGCAGATGGCCAATAATAGGCCATACCTGTGAGACGAGGAGGGCGTGGCTACGTACCTCATCTCAGCACAGCGTGATGCGATTTTCGTGGAATATTTCCATTTCACAGTTGCCATCCTGCCTTGTGTAGAATAGAGATGTGATCAACTGTTGTATAACAATTGTTAAGGGTTTTATCCCATCACAACCGTAGCCGCCACCATGTCCAAATATAGTGCGCTGCAACGCCCCCCCCCCCCCCTTCACATCACCGAGGTGGAACTGGTCCAGATAACTGAAGGCGTATCTTTAGACAGTAGGCGGGGCATCAACATCGTGATGAGCGCCGCGCCGTAATCACCCATCTTGAATCCTTGAAAGTGATACATCCCATGCGCTTGCGGAAAGGACTGCTTGGCTGAGGAAACAAGGAACGTATCTTTGAGAAAAAGTTTCACGTATTTTTATTCATTAATTTTCCGCTAAATCTCATGACTATGTAAACAAAATCGGTGGACGAATGCGATAGGAAAGGAATTTCGAATCAGTGTCTTCTGATGAAGGTGCGCTACTGGGGCTCTTCCTGCGCCTCATCGTTGTCCAGAATACTCTCATCGTCTTCCGAGCCTCCTTCAAATGCCGAATCATCGGAAAGGTCGTCGCGATGTATGGTTGACCAGGGATACATTGAATGACGCCGTTTTTTGTCTGAAATGCGCTCAATTGAAAAAAGGTGAACTTCGGTCCTGGTTAACCTATAAAAGTGACCGTCTTTGTTGATAGCCTCCTTTATCTGTACCTGTCGAGCTCTTATCTGGACTCAACACTTCAGCGACAACACGTAGCATACGAGGAGTTGCAAGACCTAGTGAAAGCTTGCAAGTCTCTTGTAGACCGCGTTCCTCCACGGTTGTCGTCTCTGTCTTCTTATCGTTTTTCAGCATTTGTCTGCAAAAGCCATTTAGTGGGGTACTTTATGTTGCTTTGGTAATAATCTTGCCTTCATCAGTGTTTATGCTTAACTTCATCTATTTTAATTACCGTACGGTTTTTTTTTGCGCGGAGGGAGGTGAATGCCCGAGACCGCATTCACACTTCACAAATCGTGCGATTTGGAAATCGCGCTCCGCCGCTAATCGTTGGACTACTGCCACCACTCCTAATTAATCTAATTGAATCACATGCAAAAGGGCTTTATTCGACCGTTGCGGCAGTCCAAGGATTAGCGCCGGGGCGCGGTTGGACACAGTTCCGCGATTTCCAAATCGACCAATCCGTGAAGTATGGGAAGCAAAATCTTGCGGAGCTCTTCAAAGGCGCTATCGACGCTGATCTATGAGCGGACTCAGGCGGACCTATGCGTTACTCTCTGATGCACCACTCCTAAAGGGGGAAGAGGAGCGCCAGCAAGGAACAAAAGGACCTCCCCCCCTCCTCTCGACGGCTCGATTCGATGAGGAAGGACAGAAGAGGGCTGGGGGGGGTCGTACAGACCCGACTAAAATCCACAACCGGTGATGTGCCCTGCGCCCTGCCTCCAAAGCCTCATGACACCGTGGGTGAATGTGAGTTCGATCCGATCCGAAATTTGAGTGCTTAAGTGACCGGCATTAATGAATGTTCTCGAATTTTGCACTTACGCAGCCCTTTTCTTGAGAAGAATTTGAGCCTGTGGGTAGTATTTGATGACGTCGTTCAGGTCCTCCTTGAGCAGCACGAAAAGCGTCGAGTAACCTTTTGCTCGAATCGATGCAGTTCGACGATTGTTGCCTCCAATAGCGAGCAAACTGAAAGGGTTCTAATTTACAGTCGGAGAGGCAGTGCTGTTCGGCTTAGGGGGGGGGAGCATGTTGCAATTTTGCTATTTCCTGTCAAATGACTGACATGGCTCTATCGTCTTGGCTCTTTCGCACCATGTTG